TTGAGGTGGGCTACTAACATGTTCTTGAACTCCCGGGCTCAAGTGATCCTCCTGCTTCAGCCTTCTGAGTAGCTGGGATTGCAGGCATGGGCCACCAATTTCTTGATCATGCTTAGCAAATCCCCTTAGACCGACAGGGCCAGATGAATCCCCTTGGCCCAGAAACAAATAAAAAAAAATAAAACTAAACATGTATGACAGACACATAAAGAAGATATACTGTAAATGACATGGGAAGGGTCAATATTCTTAATTGCTCATGTATTTCATTAACATTTTTTGAAGCAACTTCAGATTTGGAAACGGTTTTGCTTTTAGGGCTTAATTTTTATTCATTTTCTTTTCTTGCAAGACAGGGTCTTGCTCTGTTATCCAGGATGGGGTGCAGTGGCATGATCTTGGCTCATTGCAACCTCCACCTCCCAGGTTCAAGCAATCTTCCCACCTCAGCCTCTTGAGTAGCTGGGACCACAGGTGCATACCACTACATCCAGCTAATTTTTTGTATTTTTGATAGAGATGGGGTTCCAGCATGTTGCCCAGGCTGGCCCCGAACTCCTGAGCTCAAGTGATCTGCCTGCCTCAGCCTCCCAAAGTGTTGGGATTACAGAGCCACTGTACCTGGCCTTCACTCATTTTCATTTTTGTCAATTTGGTAGGTAGAAAACGGCTTTTGTTTTAGGTTTAATTGGCATTTTAATTTTAATTTTTATTTATTGAGACTGGGTCTGGCTGTGTCACCCAGGCTACAGTGCAGTGGTATGATCTCAACTCACTGTAACCTCCACCTCCCAGGTTCAAGTGATCCTCTCAACTCAGCCTCCTGAGTAGCTGGGACTATAGGCACACACCACCGCACCAGGCTAATTTTTGTGTTTTTTGTAGAGACGGGGTTTCACCATGTTGCCCAGGCTGGTCTCAAACTCCTGGACTCAAGCAATCTTTCTGCCTTGGCCTCCCAAGGTGCTAGGATTACAGGCATGAGTATCATGCCTGACCTGGCATTTTAATTATTAACTTATTAATGAGTTTAAATGTATCCTCAAGTATTTATTGGGCATTTCTATCCCCTCTGTGAGTTGCCTGTCTTTTGTTAATTTTAGTGTAACGATATTTATCTTTATTTTGACATGTAAGAATAGCTTATTTATGAACGATATTAGCCCTCGATCTAGGAAATAATTCTCATGGCTATTTATTTTTCTCTTAAATTCATTTTTTATTTTTATTTTTTTACCATGCAGAAATGTTCAATTTTTGAGTAGTTAAATGCATCAGTCTTTTCTGTTACGGTTTCTACTTGTAAATCGTGCTTAGAAAAATCATTCCCACTTCATGGATATAAAATTATTCACCTACATTTTATTCTGTTAATTTTATGGCTTCATTTTTGACATGTAACCTTATAATTCATCTTTCATTTATTTGGGTGTAAAGGTTGACAGGGATCCAGTGACTTGCCATTGCTAATGTTAATTTCAAGTCACTGTCACCTAGGGCAGTGGTCTCCATGTTTTTTGACACCAGGGACTGGTTTCCTGGAAGACGGTTTTTGTATGGATGAGGCGGGGGGTGGAGGGTAAATGGTTTTAGAATGAAACTGTTTCATCTCAGATCATGAGGCATTAGATTCTATAAGGAGTGTGCAGCCGAGATCCCTAGCATGTACAGTTCCCAGTGGGAGTCGCACTTCTCTGAGAATCTGGCGCTGCTGCTGCTGTGGCAGGAGGCGGAGCTCAGGTGGTAATTCCTGCTTGCCCGCTGCTCCCCTCCCGCTGTGTGGCCCCATCCCTAACAGGCCACACACTGGTACCGGTTCATGGCCTGGGGGCTGGGGATGCTTGCTCTAGGGTGAACGTGGATTTGCCCGTGCAAAGATGGTATACTCATTGTTACGGGGTTGTGACATCACCATTTGTTGACCACTCTATGCATTATTCATCTGTTAGACATTAAGTTATATGTATGCTTAACTCTGTTTCTGTACTTTTTTTTTTAGTGGGGGGGGGCATGGAGTCTCACTCTGTCACCTAGGCTGGAGTGCAGTGATGTGATCTCAGCTCACTGCAACCTCCACCACCCAGGTTCAAGCAATTCTCATGCCTCAGCCAGCTGAGTAGCTTGGATTACAGGTGCCAGCTACCCAGCTAATTTTTGTATTTTCAGTAGAGTCGGGGTTTCACCATGTTTCCCAGGCTGGTCTCGAACTCCTGACCGCAGGTCATCCACTTCTGCTTCTCAAAGTGCTGGAATAATAGGCGTGAGCCACGGTGCCCGGCCTTTCTGTACTCTTTATTCTGCTTCCCTGATCTGTTTCTTTTGGTTTCAGTATCATACTATTTTTGTTTCTATAGCTTAAAAATACATTTTTTCTTTTTCTTTTTTTTTTTGAGATAGGTTCTCACTCTGTCATCCAGACTGGAGTGCAGTGGCATGATCTCAGTTCACTGCAACCTCCATCTCCCAAGTTCAAGCTATTCTTCTGCCTCAGCCATCTGAGTAGCTGGGATTACAGGCGTGTGCCACCATGCCCCACTAATTTTTCTATTTTCAGTAGAGTCGAAGTTTCATGATGTTTCCTAGGCTGGTCTCAAACTCTTCATCTGGAGTGATCCACCCACCTCTGCCCCTCAAAGCTCTGGGATAACAGGTGTGAGCCACTGCGCCTGGCCTTTCTGTGCTTTTTGTTCTGTTAAATTGATCTGTTTCTTTTGGTTTCAGTATCTTGTTTCTATAGCTTAAAACGGCTTTTTTTTTTTTTTTTTTTTTTTTTTTTTTTTTTTTTTTTTTTTTTTTTTTTTTTTTTTTTTTTTTT